GACTGTTTGCCTCAGGGAATTTATTCAATTCTCTATTTCTTCCAGCCCTTGCTTTCCAACTGTCTGCTCCTATCTTCTAACATATCATCAGTTCCCTTTATTTCCTCACCCTCATGGTTTACCTCTTGGCTTGTTCCCCCTACCCCATGCTGGTTTGAACAATTGGTTGCTCAGATTCAGATTATTACAGACTAGGAACCCTCACATTGTATGAAAAGGGGAACAGACATTTGTAATTCATCTCATTTACTGACCTTTGTATGTGTTGGCCCTGGATCAGTTAAGTAACAAAATTTTAAAATGCCCCATGTGAAGATTAGGGGTATGATCAGCGCCTCAAGCGCACACAATTAGTGAATATATATTCTTATTTTACTGTGGAAAGTGGTCCCACAAAACTGCAGGCAACTTCACCTCTAGCTAAATAAAAATAGAGAGTAGCTCAGCTGCTAATTCAGGATGGAGGATATTGGCCAATGTAAAGTACAGGATCATCAAACATCTGTGTGATCTCCTTTTCAGGAGGAGAATAATCTTTTAACAAAAGGGAAAAATTCCCCCCAATTTTTCTTAACTGAAAAAAATGTTACTTAAATTGTGAGGGAGATAATTTTATTAGAGTCATATTGTCAAAAAAATCAGATAAAGAGTAAATCAACATTTTATTTTCTATAAACAGAAAAAAGTACTTGGAATTTAAAAAATCTGATCTTAGAAGCAAAAAACTATACGTATATAATTTTGAGAGATATCTATATCTACATGTATATCTATATATCTATTTAATACTCTTAAAAAACATTGTTTCATAGATAAGGAAAGTGTGACTCAGAGAAATTAAGCAACACAGCTTGATTCTCATAATTAAAAAGATAAAGAGTTAGGCTCATATTTTAAAATTTAAATCAGAATTTGAACTCAGGTCTATAAAACTCCAAAAGCCACTTTCCACAGTGTCACGTCTTCCTAAGACAAAAGTTTTGATGTAGAATCTGTAAGAATTATCCAGATAGTTAAGATATTTGGTGAAAAGGACAATATAGCAAGTCACTTGCAAAAATAATCAAAAACCCATTTTCATTGAGCCAACTAAAGGACTGCCAAGAATAATGGTGTACATAACAGAGAAGGAAAGTCCAAAATGGCAAAGTGGCAAAGTATGTTTGAGATCCTCTGAACAAGTTGAGTACCATCAAATGCTTAAGGTATTTTGCCCAAATTGAATGCAA